ATCAAAATTTGTAGATTGAAAGCAAAAGTCCACACCCCAAAAATGATCAAATTCGAGTTATTTACAAAATTTAAAAAAGTTTCACGACCATCTAGCGGCTAAACGAAGCGATTTCGGATATAGGTGAATTAGCCTAAATCTGACTATTTTGAGTCCATGAATCTGTGGTCTTCCGTTGTACACGTTATTCTGGGACACCTGTATATTTCAATCGCCATTTCCTCCCAAGCAGCATTTTTTATTTTATTTTAATATTGTGGTTCGTTTACAATCCCGAGTTTTTCCTTTTTCCACACATTTCAATGAAATGGAGAGTTCTTTCCTGTGACCACTGACCATTCCATATTTTATTGTTTAGTTGCGTTACGATATTCAGTTGTTTGGCCGCACTTTTACTTATTAGTACCAAGACCATATAGGCATGTAACTAATTAATACTAACAGTAAACTGAAGACTACTTGGCGCCACAAAAATGTTTTAGTTATTATTTTTTTTAGTACTTAGTTGTGTGTAGGTAATGTTTTCAAATTTTGGGCGAACATTCATGTTTTTCTTTCGCAACAGCATTCATTTATGAATGATGACAAAGTTAAAGAAGCTATGAATTCCTGGATAAAGGCAAAACTAAAAAACATATGTTGGTACTAATTGAAAAAAAGAAGTACTATTAGGATCGTATTCGATGCAAAGTAGAGCAAAAAATTATCGGTCTTTTATGAAAGGAACATCGTGTCATAACTTTTAGGAGGCGTAAGATAAACCACTTCAAATTTAAAATGAAATTGAATGTAAAATCTGAACGCACTGCGTTCTGGTAGTAGCTATAGTCGCCCAGGTGCATCGAGTGTACGAAGTGGTCGGTTATACGTCAAATATTAACCTGGCAAACTTGGTCGTAAATCAGGGACTGTCTCCAAAAAACAAGTAAACAACAGTGGCGCGTACAGAGGTGAAATGTAGTACATATGCGGAATTTAAAAAATAAATTGGATTTATAATAAATTACATTTAAAATAAATAGTTCATGAGAATAAAGCGATTTTTGTAGGGATAGGGTGCCAGACGTGAACTGATCCCTTCATCCCTTCATAATGCATAAAGAAATGATTCAATTTCTAAACCCCTTAAAACCGTACTGCACTGGATCCCTTGACAGGCAATGATTTATTACTTTGCATCGAATATGATCCTATTATAAAATAGGTATTGTTTGTATTTTACGTTGAAATGTACATAAGATATGAAAAGTTTATATTTTACTTTTTGAAACACTTTGGTATAAGTAATCACAAGAGCGACAAATAAGGGACGTGATAAAAATTGTACTCATTGTCAGTGAGGAAAAATCTTGAATAAGCTCTTATACATATTCGTATACTGGATTACATAAAGATGGGGGGGCACTGGGGAATAAACGCTTATTATATAAATAACTGACTTTTATAATGTCAATTCCGTGACCGCAAACGTTGATACGATAAAAACGCTGCCATTAGAAATTGCAATCCACACTTAAAACGATTTTACGATTCGGACGGAGCTTTTTATGAAGCGATGGAAGCTGACCGGAGTGAAACATAACGGATTTTCCAGTTAGGTGAATTTGCATAATTGCTGCAAAAATGTCAGTATTCATGTTTATTTTTGCAGCGAGACCGAGCTGTTGGCGCTTACGGTAATAAATAGTAATTTAGAAGCTTACCGGTTGCATTCGCATGCCGTAATTACTGCCGCGGTAAGCCCGAAAGAAAATAAATAAAGGAATACCAACGGTTTTTTCGCATCCGTTTTAAAAACTAGTTAATTCAGTGTCCTTTTTGAGGAATACTGTGAACATAAATAAGCTCGGGGGGGGAACGTACTGTGTGATAATGTGTGGAAAAAGTATATGGTTAATATATACAGGCTTTCGCATGTAAACGTTTTAAATGATGATTGTTTTGTGAAAAACGCCACTCACTTTTTTCCTTTGTATCATTTCATATGAACCCGACAAATGTTGTCTTGTAAATGTAAATTAGTTTCCATGTTTGTAATACAGGATGTTCCATTACAAAAAATTACGTTTTGATGGTTTTAAGTCGACCAAATTTGGTATAAAATTTTCAGCACCCTGTATAACATTCAATTTTGAAGACATTACTCGTATTAGAAAGTTTAAAGCACATTATCTCGATATGTGGATAATTTGGGCATAGGGCTCGGTACAGGGAAACTTGATAAAAGACCTCTTAAAATTAACCGTAGAATTCAATTAAACATTAATATAAAGGGTGTTCCACTTAAAACAACAAAGTTGATGTTGACTTCCGATATAACCAGCTTCAAATAGACAATAATATAGGTACAGATACCTTTTAGAGAAAATTAGCAAAATATAATTTACATCGGCGGCGAACGATGAACTGTCGAATACAATTTTTTAAAGGTACCTTCCATATCGACACCACTGTGCTGTGGAAAATAGATATTTTTTTTATTAAGTGCACAAAATCAGTGTTCTTTCTTCTTTTTGGTAGAGACCGTAGGCCGAGAAAAAAAAAATCATTCAAATGCGCCATAAGACGCTGGTTTTGCACACGAAATACAAGAAATATTTTTTGTCGAACTGTTCAAAATATCTATATTGATCTGAAGTGAATTGGTCGAGGTAAGAAAAGAGAATTGACATTAAATAAACGCCAAAGTCGAAAATGACGTTTCTATTACATAACTTACTGTCTTGGCAGATTGGTTAATGAACAAAAGCATGCGGTCGTGAAAAACAAGAAAACGAAAGTACTCGACTCATGAAAAAAAAAATATATTTTTTCACGATCACATGCTTCTGTTCATCGCAGTTAAAAAATGGTTAATTTTGCTATCCATAGCGATTAAAAAAGTCGTGTTTTTCTGACAGTTGCTATTTTAGTATAAAAACTATTTTAATATAAAATTATTACGATTGATTAACTGAAAACATCAAATTTCATTTTATCACCCTGTATCTTCGTAATTAAGGCCCGTATTACAGCAAATATCATTATTTTTAATGGAAAATAATGATGTTTGTCGTACCTGAGGCTGAGCAGATTCTTGAGAACTGTTTATAATTACGCAATTACGGACCTAAGCGTTTTCAGACCCACGTGCATAGGAAACTTTTTGCGAACAATGTTTTCAATATTTTCAGTTTGGTATGATATTTTCGGAATATCCTGTACAGTTTAATAAAAATGAGTAACATAGGTTATAAAAATATAGCTTAAAAAAGCTAATCTTTGTGTAAACCTATTGGAGATTTCCACAGGCGTCCCTAGCCTAGGGTAAAAAAAATATTGTTTGTTAATTAGCTACAAATAGCACAGAAGAGTGTACGCATTTTGTTAATTTTGACTCTTACTGTAACACTTGATAACATTTATACTGTCTATTACGCTTAGTGTCAATTAAAGTAAGTCTCTGACTGCACATTTCGATGGAGACTTTAAAGGATTGCGCGGGATTGTGTGGCGATTGCAGAGATTTCGACAGTGACTGCAAGATTGAATCGACTGTTTTGTAAAATCCCCGAGGTTTTTTTGTAAGATTTTACAGATTTTCATGTGTTTCACTCAATTTGTACGCGTATTGCCATAGTAAACCACCTCTCGGTATTTTCTGAACAATGCTTTGATTAAAATACAACTTAATAGGATTTATGAAAACAAAACCAGTGTCGCACTATGTTAAATTTTTTTAATTAATAATAGATCATTCGTCGATTGTCTCATCTATGATATACTGATGAGTGGGTACCTACTAATAAATTCGGAATCGGTATATGTCTGGTGGTTCCGTTGACAAATTACCTTAGCTTACTAGATATTGTGAGTGTAATTCAATGCTCATAAAGACATTAGTTCGTAGACACTTATATCTAGTACCTGAGAAAAAGCACTCTCTGCATTATCTCACCCGTACCTACAATAAGAATCACAGACAGACAAAATTTAACTTTTTTTGGAAGCAGAAACTTGAATATATATTTCCGAAGGATTTAGGTGCGTTGAATCCGAATCTGGCAGCAGAATTGGTCTATCACGTCAGAGATATCCTAACCTAAAAGTGCAAAAAATACATTTTTGAGGTAATGCCATCTATTATTTTCAAAAAACTAATACATTGAATCTACAAGGCTCCCTCCTTCGAATGCCGTTGAGTTTGCTCAAATATCTTTTTTTTTTCGTTGAGATATCACATTTTGAAAGTTTCTCAGTTTCTTAATATGCGAAAATCTACTAAGCATCCCTTAGACATCAAGCAGTCGATTGCAATTCAGAAACTTCATACCCATACGGTTTGTGGGTTTGGAGTTAGTGGGTTTGGGGTTTGTAAGCTTGGAGTTTGTAGGTTCGGATTTTGTGGGATTAGGGTTTGTGGGTTTAGGGATTGTGGGTTTGAGGTTTGTGGAATTGGAGTTTGTGAGTTTGAGTTCGTATGTATTGAAGGTTTCTGAGTATGAAGTTTCTGAACTGCAATCAACTGTTTGACGTCTAAGGAATCCTTAGTACATTTTCGCATATTAAGAGACTGATAAACTTAGAAATTTCAACATGTGATGTCTCAACGAAAAAAAAAAGATATTTGAGCAAACTCAATGGCATTCGAAAGAGGGAGCCTTGTACTTTTAAATTATGTGTATTTTTTTTGAAAAAGAATAGATGGCATTACTACATAACCTCAAATATGAAGGAAAACAGTGTTTTTTCACATTTAAGTTAGGATATCTCAAAACCTGACGTGATACAGCAATTCTGCGGCCAGATTCGGATTCAGCGCACCAAAATTCTTCGGGAATGCATATTAGTGTGTCTACTTTCCGACCCTTGTTGACCTGTAGAATTAATCAGTTTGGATAGTGGTAGTGAATCTGCTGTCGATTGAATTTCATTATTTACTAGATTGCAATCCAATGGTAGTTAATTGTTAAAACATATGTAATAGTATTCAAATGTAGTGCAGTTATGTATGTATTTACCTGATACAACGAATTCCCCGTAACGTAGGAATGAATATAGTGAGATCCGTATTTGCTAATGAAGTCGAGAACACTGGCCACATCGCCGCTTTTAATATTGTCAATCTCTTTGGCCACGTCGTCCACCAGGTGCACGTTATTCGGGATGCGGTCGAGCTTCACCGTTTCGCGAAACCTCGAGAGTCGCACAAGCACGTAACAGTGGTCTTTGATCACGAAGGAGGAGTTTATGCCCAGGTGTTTGGCCAGTGCCTCCGGCGCCCAGGAAGAGGTGAAGGCCCTCCACGGCTTGTCCAGCTTTTCGAAGCTGAAGTCCCGGAAGTAGGCCTGCAGCAACTGCCGGACGTTGTCGCAGAACTCCATGTGGAAGTCGCCATCGAAGACCCTCTTCTGCTTCTTAGGTACTCGGTCTAGTAGCGGGATGTTAGTTATCCGATCTAGATTGGAGAAGATGTTCACCGTGGGTTCTCTGAAGATCCATTCGGTACCGTTCCTTGGCACCACCTAAAAAAAAAGAAAATCATAATGGCGATTTACTTATTTACAAAGTTAAAAGCATTGCATGAAATTACAATAAGGGTATACTAGGATATTTTAAAGTGACAGTAAACTGATATTTCATATAAAAAAATGAGCAGTACAAAGGAATCTGGAGACTAAATCCACGCATGATGCATTTGCTGCACAAGGCTGTGGTAAAACCAAAAAACAATAGAACTAGAGATATCCAAACCTAGACTTTGCATCACACGTGCTATGGAAAGCATTTCAACCGCATCTACATGTAACTATTTGGAACGTCTCTCTCATCTTCAATTTCTTTATGTGGAGGGAAACAAGAATGGGGGCGTACAGGCTAAAATGTAATGACAATTGATGTGTGGAATAGCTCAAGGCATAACAAGAATAATCACAAATCCTCTGCTCGAAATGAAAACATCCCTTCAAAATTAAACATTGAGGTACTTAGCTAAACTAGGATGGTCATACAGAAACAACCTGCAAGTCTGTAACACTAGTGCGGTGTACAATGGATCCGAAATTGATAACGGAACTAGAGTAGGAATATTTGGTGCAAAATCGAGATTCAAAACATTTGTGGAAATTGGTACAGCTGTATTCCAAGCTGAATTATATGCCACTGAGATTTGTCAGAGAGAGAATATAAGGAGACATAATGGCAAAAAGATCTATATTTACTTCGATAACCAAGTCGTAACGAAGGCTTCAGAAAAACACATAACCACTTCAAAATTGGTCTGATACTACCTCCAATGCTTTTACTTTTTCTGGCTAACCACAGTGAGGTTATTCCTAAATGAAATTCGAATGTGAAAGAATGATAATGAAAAAATATGTACCTGAACCTGGTTTTGGAATACCAACACTGATGGCATTATTATAACTCGTTGGATGGAACTACAACACCGACAAGACAGTGGTAAAATCACTATGGAAAAAACTGAGTTCTGACATACTGCAATAAAGTAGATTACGGGATTGCTAACTGGTTACCGTAATTTGATGAAATATCTATAGCAATAGGCTTCAGCAGGTTCAGTGTCGAACCTCCCATATAATCTTTGAATGTGCTTTTAAATTTTGAAGGCTACAAACGTCTTCACTTATAGAATACAGACAGCAACACAACAAACTTATAGCCTGCAGTGTTGGGGCTCGCAATTCTCACTATCTGTACTAATTAATGAATGCATGAACGAATTGGGGAAATGGGGAATGAAGATAAGGTTATGTCAATGTCAGCTAAATCAAACATAAAAAATCACGAAAACAAAAAATTACTAGATCCTTCGTAAGAAGGCAAATTTTATTTGAAGTAAATATTGAGTATACCTATGGGTATTATATACAAATTCAATAAAAACGAACATAGATCGCAAAACGACATTTCTATTAAGAAATATTAGTCGCAACATAGAAAGGTTTATAGAAACTGTTGTATCTAGTTTTTCGGGATAGCTACCCACATTTGTTCAAGAAACTGTGGATACCCTCTACAAAAAAACTCTTTGGTGTAGATTTTAATCAATTGGACACCGTTTTTATTACCGTTTTAAATGTAAATTTCCAACCCGGTAATTGCTTTATCAAAGTATGGATTCATTACTAAACAAAAAGTAAGGAACTAACATTGGGATGAAAGCAGTCATCTTACATTTCATCATCAAGCCCAAAATAATTCAAGATTCACTTCTTCCTTGAGAAAGTTTGGCATGTTAATGACTCTACATACATGTATGAAAACAAAATGAAACTGAGACTAATACTAATACTTGATAAGTGAGTAAATTTGGTTAAAGCTATGCATACATCCTGAAATTTGATGTGTTGCAATCATATTGTTTGAATTCAACGCTTATGAGGCTCTCATTTGTTTGGACAAACTATCATAAGTAATCAGGCAATCGAGGCAGAGCAAAGTTGATTAAAAACTACACCAAAAAGATTCTTAGAGACCAAGTGAAGGATTACTAAAACAAAAAATTTTTGTAAGCAGTTTTGTAACTATGTTATTAAACAATCTCTGTTAAATGCCTTTCCGTTGTATATAGACGCATACTTTGAGTGTGTATGGGAAAAGGCTGAAGATTTGTAAAGACTATCACATTAGGAAAACAGAGAAAGCAGATACAAATACGGAACTACAAGCTAAGACAATGATTAGGACATAACCTGGAGAAAGTGAACGTTGTCAAAAAGCAATCTGAACTAATCAGAAATAGAAAATCGTACGTCCGTAGTTCATTGTTGTTGTCGTGAGTAACAGATTTATTGAATATTTTCATTTTGAACCGTTATGTTTAGGGGTATGACTATTTGTTGTTGCTAATACTTTTATCAATGGAAGACTTTTCTCAAATATATGAGTCTATCAAGGAAGTTCAATGAATTTAACATGGAACTAAATGAAGCACAAAGTAGTGTAAAACCAAACCAAATTAATTTGCATTGTAACCATCGATACTGTCTTGTCACGGTTTTAAAACTGTATAAGCATGATAAAGTAAATGTTACACGTGAAACGAAATTATGATCTTTATAATACAAATTTATGATAAACAATAAAAAAGCCGTAACAGCGATCAAGTATTTGCTATAAATTTCAATTACCTTTTCATTATTTGCTTGAGGGAATTTTAAAATCATTACCATTTTTTTCAATAACACAAAATAATATACAATATTTAGAAAATATTATTAAAATTCTCGTAATTCTATTGTAACTTGTGCAACAGATATTATAATTTTTTTAATTCCGCTTTATTTACGTTGAATGATTTTATGTATATACGAGTACTCTGGGTGCGTTCGTTGTGACATACAAGATGGTTCGTAAATAAACATATGTACAGGGTGCTATAAAAAGCTGTTAACTATAAATTCTATTAGCAAAAATAACCTGTTTATGCCACTTTTGATATAGGCGACCTTTTCAAGATGCATGATGCCAAAATAATTCTCAGAAAAGGCTTTTATTAATAACCCTGTTCAGTTAAAATTTTGCATAGATGATAGACGCTCGCATATGCTTTGTGTACTTTTGAAAAGAGAAAAACAAAAAAATCGAAGTGCGAACGAAGAAAAATGGAGTTGTACCTACCTACATATTATTCTTGGTATTTATTTTTGCGTACACCTATGATTCGAATGCATTCATTTTTCGACCAAGTGTCTGGGTTTCGTATTTTTTTTACTCACTTTTTCAATTTTCATTTGGAGATTGGTTTACGAGATCTTTGAATATGTGATACTGATCCTCGGGTTGTTTAATTTTCCTATTTGTCCCTTGAACCTTATAAAAACATGATTTTGTGTTACTTAATCCGATACGTTTTTGCATAACGTCTAAGAGCAAATGAACTTTACAATTGGGATTTTTCAAAAAAATCGTTTGTTATTTATTTGTCTTTAGCGCAAAATATATGGTATTAATTGGACAATTGTGAAAATTAGTTGCTGACGTTATATTCATAAATTTTCCAGCATATTTGGTAACGTCTCATTTTGAATACTTAATTTTTTAATATTGACTTCCAATTTTTAGCTTGTTTTCTGGGCTCCTATAATAAAATGTAAAATTTGGATTTTAAATTAATCCAGTTTTTTAATCGAGTAGATTATAGAATGTTTAATCAAAAGTCTTGCCAAAGTAAATAAAATACACAGCCTTAAAAACGTATATAAAAATATTCATACCATATACCCAAATCAGTCGTAATAGCTTTATAAAAATATTTTTGAACCAACAGAACAAACAATATATTAAAAGACAACTAGGTAATACCTCCTTTAATTTTAAGGCGCGTAAATAATAAATGGCATTTCGAAAGTCTTACTATTTTCGTCCAAAGAATCTGTAGTATATAGTTATTTTTTTGTAACACCTTGTAAAAAATCATCACTTTGTTAAGAAAATGGCAACTGTATCAGCATATTTATTTCAATTTCAACATCAGTTTCAAGATTCTTGTAAATTAACAGTAAATTTCACAAGGCATATCGTTAACATTTAGTGGACATCTGTTACATTCATATTTTTGCTTGTCCTACTTTTCGTTTGGCAATTGAAAAATATTCTTATTCTTTAAAGAAATTAATTCAATATGGCGTCCATAACAAAAATAAAAGTTTACTACCGCTCAGCACATATTTTTAGATACTGATAGCAAACATCGATTCCTCACTATTTTATATCAGACTACACATTTTTGTACTAAAATTTTGAAAAACAAGTGAAGTCCTACGACTAAAAAAAAGAAATAGCATAAAATCGGTTGCTTTCGAATATTTTCGGATCTATTCGGAATTTTCTAAATTTAAAAACCAATCCGTGATCGGCATAAAATTCGCTCATTTAAACATGTATGTAATATGTATCTGTTAAAATAAGAAGATATCTGTATTGGACAATTAAAAATTGTAACCCTGTATTTGCGATTTTTTTGCACAAACGTGCGTGTTTGTTGTTCGTATCTTCATCTTCGTATCGTATATTAACGATTGTTTCTATGTGTATGTGTATGTCTAACTAATCACATTACATCATTTACTAGGTCTTTCGACCCTTACTCTAATTAGAAAAAGTAGGTTATTTGCATACAACATACAAGACTGCAAATAGAATGTCATCTAAACAGCTGCCAACGAATCTCAGTGACACATCTAAACAAAACACACGGTAACGTTTCAGTAAATTAACAATCATAATCGTCACCTAATTAAAGTAACCTTCATCAGCTCACTTCCCCGACATCTGCTTAATTTTATAAAAAAAGGTTGTCTACGTGAACATAGTTCTGGATGGTATATTAAAATGCAATCAAAAATTGTAGTTTAATTTAGAAATAATGAATGAAAAGAACTGGGGAAAATTTTGTTTAAGTGATGTCAATTAACAGCAACAGGATCTATCTGCATATACATCGTAGCTCAATCTCAGCGAATAAATCAATATTATAGAACTAATCATTAAACCACCTGAA